TTTGCACCTGGCTTGCAAAGGGCATACTGGCCTTTGGCTCCAGCCGTCATGAGTGACTTTACTCACAAGGGACAGAAGGAAGCTTTGTGTTTCCTTTGATATTTGCCAGTGATCTTACACACTTGTATTTCAATTTTGTCCAGTTGTCAATCTCATTTAGACTGTGTTGAGTTTGCTTTGGGTTACACAGGCTTAAAAAAAACTTCCAGCTCAGAGAGTTGAGTGAGTGGCTCCCTACCAGCCTCAGCAGCCCTGGTCCTGCTCACAGTTGTTGTCCACGTGCTCCTGGTCCTGAACTCTGTGGAGCTTTTTGGGTGGGGAAGGCCAGCCTTCTCCTGTAACCACGCACAGTGCTGTCCCTGTGTGGCCTTCCTCTTGCTGGTTTCGCTATAGATATTGGAGCTATAGTCTGGCTGATTGTGTGGCCTCCAGACCTGGGATCCTGGCTGTCTCCTCAGTGGACCCTTGTCCTTTCTGAAGGGACCCTGAGCATCAATAGGGAGGCTGGCAGGCCTCAGCACTTGGCTGAGTGTCACAAGTCCCAGCATTGCAGTGTGAGTCCACACGGCTCTAGGAAACCCTTTTCCCCTCTGGGTTTCAGTTTGCTTATCTGTAACATGAGGGGCTGGACATGAGGCAGGCAGTAAAGAGGGTATTTTAGTGTACCAGTCAGGGGTGCTGCTAATGGCATCTAGCAGGGGAAGTCAGGGATTCTGTGCTGCTCAAGTTCACGAAGTGCCCTGGACAGCTCAGAGGGTCCAGGAAACCCTCAGGGTCTTTTTAGATGTTCTTTGACTCCCTTTTTAATGCCCTTGACTGGGCATGGAAGCAATGCTTCTTACGGATATCCCTCTGTTAATAAGAGTTGCCACCTGAATGTGGCTCTGGAAGAGATAAGGAGAGTCATAGTAGAAGAGTGCTGGGGACCTTGACCCATGGGTTCTTGCCCACATACCTGTTGTGGAGCCTTTCCTCTCTGGGATTAAGGCTTGTGGTCACGTGGATCTAGACTTATGAGGCGTGCCTGGAGCAGTCGCCGAGTCCCCCAATCTGCCCTGAGAGGTACAGGGGCTGAGAGCTCTGCCTTGTACCATGTTGGCTGCTGTCCCTGACCTTCTGTTCACACACCCTGCCTCAGGAAGTGCCTGGCGGTGGCCTGGTGCTCCAGGCTACAGCCACTTCACCTGAAGGCCTCTGTGCCCACAGTTCCTGCGAGTCACCAAGCAGTATCTCCCTCACGTGGCCCGCCTCTGCCTGATCAGCACCTTCCTGGAGGATGGCATCCGCATGTGGTTCCAGTGGAGTGAGCAGCGTGACTACATCGACACTACCTGGAGCTGTGGCTACCTGCTGGCCTCATCCTTCGTGTTCCTCAACTTGCTGGGACAGTTGAGTGAGTGGCTCTGGAGGCTGTTCCCTCACTGATAGCACACCTGAAGCTTGTCGTGGCACTTGGGAGGTTGTGTAAACCCAGGGGCTCCAGCATAGGCCTGCCTGTGAGTGTTGGGGTGGATGCTCTCAGTCCTAGACTCACAGCTTTGGGGCTTGCTAAAGGCATGGACTCAGTCCCGGTTTGTTTTTAAGTGCCTCAAGCAGGAGGCACAGGAGACCAGGTGGCTGAGGCAGTCAAGGAAGCATCTAGGATGGATAGGAGGATCTAGGTCAGTACAGGAGGGGTGGGGCCCCAGGTCTTCTTTCCACTCTTGATGGACTGTCTTCTGGTGTCAGCCCTCACTCCTTGGCACATTATGGGCTCATTAAAGGACTTGTGCTTTCTAGCCCGTTTGAAGCTCTTACACAGTAAAGATGTCAAGATCTGTCTCTGCAGGGTGGTGGCCACACTTGTGCTCCCAGCTACTCAGGAGGTTGAGGCAAGAGGATTACAAGTTTCAGGGCAGCCTGGGCAACATACCAAGGCCCTGTCTTAAAATAAAGGAAATAGGGCTGGGATGTAGGTCAGTGGTAGAGTGCTTACCTAGCATGTGTAACATCCCAGATTCAATCCCAGTACTGAGGAGGAGAAAGAAAGATGTGTCTTTAATGGGACATTCACACGGGAAAACATTTTCTGGTACAGCAAGGGATCCATATTCTAGGGGAGTGATGTCCGTGAGTTTGGGCCTGGCTTGTCATCATTCTCTCCCAGAAATTGCTTTTGGCTTGGGGAAGTAGTTGAGCTGCAGCTGATCCAAAGCTTGGTGGGTACAGTGTACCATGACATTGTCTCACCCAGGACCCAGCTGAGGTCCCCCTAAACCAACCTTACTGTTGTCTTTCCAGCTGGCTGTGTCTTAGTGTTGAGCAGGAACTTCGTGCAGTATGCCTGCTTTGGGCTCTTCGGAATCATAGCACTGCAGGTACATGGGGCATGTGACAGCGTCTCACTTGGGAATCAGCTTTGGGCTCTTTAGAATCAGCACTACAGGTACATGGGGCATGTAGCAGGGTCTTACTTGGGAATCAGTGCTGTAGGTACATGGGTACGTGGCGGGATCTCACTTTTTTTTGCTGTGGTGGAACTGGTGTTGGATCCAGCATCCCTCCTTGTAACCCTCATGTCTGGCTGCCCAGAGCTGCTTTTCTCTGTGGGGAAGTGGTGGCATTGCCTCTTAAGGACCAGCTTAGGAGCACCTGGCTGCTAAGTGCCACAACAAGCTTCAGAGGCTGTTCTTGGATTAGGTGTCAGCTCTGGGCACTGGGCCATCTTTTGCCACTTTTCTGAGTGTGCTGTGACAGGGATAGGGCACATGATTGGCAGCAGCTAGATGCTAACTGGTACTAATGTGATTCCTCAGCAGGAAAACCTAGTGTCCAGGGTGCAGTACATCAAGAGGGGTGTTTCAGTCTAGACCAGGGGTTTCAGGACATCATGGGCACAGCCCTGAAACTGAACAGGCCCAAGGGCCATGGTTTTTGAGAAACACTGACCCCCACCCCCACACACACACACACAAAAACTGTTATACTTGACTATGCCCTTGGTGTCCTGAAGTAGTTTTGTGCCTTTTGTATTCTTGCTCTGATGGATAAGTTGCTGGGTGCTATTATTGAATCTATAGATATTTACAATGCTAACTGAAGTTTCTGTCTGCCTGTTCCCCACAGACGATCGCCTACAGCATTTTGTGGGACTTGAAGTTTTTGATGAGGTAGGTGCATGCTGGGTGCTAAGCTGGGTGTTCTCTGCTCATTTCTCCCACCTGTGTGCTGTGGGTGGGGGGTGAGCTTGTCTAGGTCTGCCCTGTGCTCCTAGAAGCAGATATTGTGGTAGCTGTTCAGAGCCTCCCCCAGCATGGCAAACAGAACCAGGTCCTCTCACTCACTGCCATATTCACAGGCATGTGGCCTGAAGGTCTGAAGGACACCTTGCAGGATGAGACCAGGGTTCCCAGGCCTGAGTTCCCAGCATGTCCAGGCAGCCTTGCTGATAGTTCCATTCCAGAGGCTGGTCCCATACACTCAGGCCTGCCTGGCCTTGCTGTACAATCTCTGCCTGAAGGACGGGAAGGAAGAGCTTTGCTGTGCTCACACCAAGATCTCCCTTCCTCTGGTCTGGCAACAGATCAGATGCCAATGAGTGTCAGCTTCCAGCCAGCATTTCTGTTCCTCAGGAACCTGGCCCTGGGAGGAGGCTTGTTGCTGCTCTTAGCAGAGTCCCGTTCGGAAGGCAAGAGCATGTTTGCAGGTGTTCCCACCATGCGTGAGAGCTCTCCCAAGCAGTACATGCAGCTCGGAGGCAGGGTCTTGCTGGTCCTGATGTTCATGACCCTCCTTCACTTTGATGCCAGCTTCTTTTCTGTGAGTATCCAGCTGCTTGGAGGGCCTGTCTGGGTTGTGTGAGTGTAGTATGGGAAGACAAGAAGCAGATCTTGTGGTCCCATTCTGACAAATGAACCCATCCATCTCCTGTGTGTCAGGGAGCTGCCTGGAAGATCCAGTCCAGGTCTCCTGACCTTGCTGGAGTGGACCAGTGCTTTCTCTGCAGGCTCTTCTGACTTCTCTTTCTAAAAGTTCACATTTTGCTGAGTATGGTTTGCGTGTAGGGTGTCGGGGGCACAGCTGACCAGAAGGTACAGGTACAAGGAAGGGTGCTGGCACTGTGGGAAGGGGACGGAGTTCCCAGCCTGGATATCTGGGTGAGTTGGGAGTACCCTGGGGATAGAGATCCAGCTGGCCAGCAGTGGAGCTCATGGTAAATCACAGCCTGCTATTACCCAGAAGCTTTCTTTAAATCCCTGAGCCTCACACTATAATGGCGTTGCTTTATCCACTTTCCCTGGTAGTGACTTCCAATTTCCTGCTGTCTCAGTAGCTGTGCCAGCCTGGCACAGGTACTTGAATGACACAGGCAGCTTGGTTTGTTTGTAGAACACAGAACAGCTGTTCCTGGTGTTGACTTTGAATGTTGTCCCTCTCACCCTGTGCAGATCATCCAGAACATCGTGGGCACAGCTCTGATGATCTTGGTGGCTGTTGGCTTTAAAACCAAGCTGGCGGCTTTGACTCTTGTTGTTTGGCTGTTTGCTATCAATGTGTATTTCAACGCCTTCTGGACCATTCCAGTCTATAAGCCCATGCATGACTTCCTGAAGTACGACTTCTTCCAGACCATGTCGGTGATTGGAGGCTTGCTCCTGGTGGTGGCTCTGGGCCCTGGGGGTGTCTCCATGGATGAAAAGAAGAAAGAGTGGTAACAGGCAGATCCCTACCCTACCTGGCCAAGACCTGTGCCCTTGTGGACTGGTTCAGGGTGGAGTCAACAAACTGCCAGCAGTTCCTTGTCCTCTTCCCTCCCCTCCCTTGGTAAAGGCACCGATGTTTGAGAACTTTACTTGCAGACACCTGAAAATTGGGGGCAAAATCTGCTCTGGAACCACAGGCTGTATCTGACCACTGAATGCTGCCCAGCTGCATGGCCAGTCACCTGGCCAGCCCCTGACATGAGCAGCTCAGTGGGTTGTGGCCTCAGTCCTGTTTTCGAGTCTTTTTTGGGGTGAGGGACTTCAAGCTGTACTGTGAGCAGACATCTGTATCATTCAGAGCAGCCTCCCTCTTGTTTTTTAAGTTTACATTCTTAGCTCAAACTACTAAATGGTTTTGGATGCTGCAGCCAGACTTCACACCCCGAAACTCCCTGGTTGAAATGCGAATCAGTGGCTTCAACATTGTTTCTGCCCCTGCATTGTAATACCTTATAGTAATCAGTGAGGCTATTCAGAAGAGCCCCAGCCCCACAGTGCTGCAGTACTGGAGGGCGACCAGGGCTGCAGCTGGAGGGAGAATTCATCAACACCACCAGCTCGGATCAATCACTGGGAGATAGAGACCCTCTCAGAGCTTTAGTGGCTCAAGGCAGGGACCCAGGGGAAGCTGCACACAGGATGGCCACCCCCTCCCCCTTGAATGGTTTGGGGAGGAGCAGCAGCAAGGGGCCCAGCAATGTCAGGAGCTCCCAGTCTTGGAGACCCACAGGCTCAACCCAGTTACCTCAACTCGACCTTCACAGAGCAAGGCCTGGATACCCTAGGCTGTGCTCCATCCCAGCGTGGCAGCACCCATTCCAGACTGCACCTGCCCTGTGGGTGGCCCCAAGGCTATGGCTTGCTCAGATTTTGTCCATTTGCTATGCCAATGCAGCCAAGATTACTTTCTACAATTTGTGATGCCTTACCAATTTGATCTTGATCCTGTATTTAAAGTTTTCTAACATTGCCTTATACCGTGTTCCTCTTTTTGGTGAGGTGGGGGTCTGACACTGGGGTGCCCTGTTCATCTGTATGGCAGTGAGTGCCAGAAGGGTAGTCAGAAAAACACCTACTCCTGCCCGATCCCAGGTACCAAGGTGCCTGACAAGGAGGGAAGATGGCCACTCACTCTGTGCTGGGTGTAGCTCCCGGAGCCCATCCTGGGTGTGCAGGACTGAAGTGTCCTGGGGCTGCTGCAGGCCAGCTGAGCCTCCTGCCCCTACCTACTACAAGGGCATCATGGTACACCTTCCCCACACCCTGGCCTGTACCACCTGCCACTGAGGCTCTGCCTGGGGCCTGCTCCCCAGTGTATTGAAGATCCAGTGATGGCTTCAGCTGCAGGGCTACCTCAGCATGTATCCCTCCTGATTAATACAGTGTAATAGCCCTATTAGGTGACACTTGGCCACACCAGTTCCTGTGGTGCCACTTGTTTGTGGAATAGGGCAGACCTAGGAAGCCAAGTGCATGGTCAGCAGGGGTGGCCTCCACCCTCCACCCTGCTGCCTGAGTGAGCTGGGCCAGGATGGGGGAGGAAAGGAAACACGGCTTACCCACGGATTTCAGCAAGACAGTCTCTGAAAATGCTTCTGCTTTATATGGGAATAGGTATAAATCTCATTTTTATGCTGTATTTTATATCTTAGTTGTGTTTGAAAACGTTTTGATTTTGGAAACACATCAAATAAACAATGGCATTTGTGGTATGCACTGTGATCCTGTGGCGGTGTCTGCAGGCTGGCCAGGGCCCTCAGGATGCTGTAGTGAGCTGGGAACCCCAGGCTTTGCCAAGGACACTGGCAGACCACACTCAGGGAGCAGTTGCCCTCAGGGTCCCTGCTGCCTCCTGGTTATGGGACCCCACCCAGTGCCAAGCAGGTTCCTCAGCCCTGCTTCAGGGGTAGCAAAGCCAGGAGACTAGGATGAATGGAGGGAAGATGCTGGAGTCTAGACTTACCAAGGACACCAAAAACTGTCCCCACAACCTTTATTAACCCGACTGCTTGAAGGAGCCAAAGCTCTTGGGCTTGTGGTGATGGTTCTTGAGCTTCTTGGTCAGTGAGTGCAGGTGCTTCTGTGGTACAGCAGAGCATTTGGTTATGGATGTTTCTGATCCCCCAGGGAGGCTCCGTACCACCCTGGCCCCCACTAGCCTGAGCAGCCAGCCTTTCTGCCATGGTTGCCCTATACTAATGGTCAGGCAGCACTGCATGGAGCCGGGGAAAGGGAAGCACATGCAGTTCCACCCTTGTGGCTCTTGCCTCATAGCAGAAGAAGGGGCACGTGAAAGCTGAGCCCCTTCTGCCAGGTTTCTGTGCTGCAGCACATGGGCAGAACCTCCAGAGATCCAGGCTGAGGGCCAGATGCCCTCCCTCCTGCCCCCCAGAGTGGCTCCCACTTTACTTACACATTATTAGCTTGAGATTTCAAACAAACCAAAACCACAACTAGAGAAAGCTGCTTCTGGCACAAATTGGCAGTGCATCCAGAGGTAACAGCTTACCTTTCTCCGCTTCAAGTCCACTTTAGCTTCTCTTCTGTCCCCTGTGCCCTTCATTCTTGGGGATTTCAGCTCTTCATTCTCTTGATCAGTCAGAAAGGCATCAGCACCATCCAGGTCCTCAGGTCCTCCTGGGTCCTTTCTGGTGAAGAGCTCCGCTGGGATGGACAGGCACTTGGCTGAGCCCACTGCAAGTGGAGCTCCACCTTCTAGGGGGTGAGGGTGGGAGCGGTGGCCAGGATCATGGAGGATGCCTACTTGGGGTGGGGGGAATGAGCCAGGAAGTCATGGAGCTGCAAGGCCAGAGTGAAGGACGGCTGTGCCACTTACGTGGGTACAGGTCTGTCATGCTGTCATCACTCAGGGCTCCACCCTCATCACTGGAAAGAGGCTCCCAGAAGGCTTCTCTCAGGCCCGGTGGCTGGTTCCGGTCCACCTGGCTTTCCACCCTCCTCTTCTTGTGCAGCAGGCAGGCAGGGACATATTCCACACCTTGCTTCTGACAGTCCTCATCTGGGACACAAGCCAGCTTACTCGGGTACCCTCCCCAGCCCCGGTCCTTTGGGCATAAGGCTAACCCATGTGTGCCCCAGCTCAGGCCTGACCAGGTGTGGAGGAGGAGTGGCCCAAAGACTACAAGGTTGTACAGGTCTACCAGGCCTTGGCATTTATCCTGCAGGCCCAAGGTGAGCCCCAGTGAGGCTGCCATAGCAGCAACCTAGTCTACTACCAGCACTAAAGTACTCCCTCTTGGTATCACATGGGCCCCACCCTGGTGGGGCCTGAAGGACCTGGCCCTTGCTGCCCTGGGCCAGCTTAGGTAATAGGATGAGATCCTGTGGATGAACCCTGTTCAGGGATTGCCCCAACTGATCCTTGTGTATGGAGAGAACCAAGCACCCACTGTCCCCTGCCTGCAACGTCACTGCTTGCTTCTGCCATCTCCAGAGCCCTTTCTCTACGTCCTCTCTGCTACCATTTCCTGTGGCCACAGTGGCCTTATCACCATGAGCACCTGCCTGTGGCATCTCCTTCCAAGTTCCTCAGGTCAGGTCCTGGTTCCAAAATGACTGCCCTGAAGTGGCTGCATTGTATCCTAGTCCCATCTCAGCTCCATCATCCATCCCTTCAACCACTTGCTCTCACAGGAACCCCCATGTCCCAGTAGCTAGCACAGCTGACTAGACAAAAGTCCAGGACCTGGCTGGCGGCCCTCTCTGGGCCTGGCTTCTACAAAGTGCCTGCTCCAAGAAACTTGTGGGCTCTGCTTTCTCACCTTCCCATTCCACCCCCAGCATGAAAGAGGTGGCGTGGTCCCCTGAAACCTCGTCCCCCTCGCTGCTCTACAGCCATGCTTCAGAGGCCCACCTATACCTGTCTCCTGCCCTACAGCACCCCAGCCTGGCTCTACCCCCATCAAGCCTCAGCTGCCCTAATCAAGACTGCCAGAATCCTCTAGACTATCAAACACTGAGGCTACTTTTGTTCCCTTACCTTGACCTCCTCTCTCTGGGGCTCCCTGGTGCTCAAGCCAGCAATCTCTGGCCAGGTGAGTTCCTCCAGCTCCAGGGCTGGCACCCTCCTTCCTTAAGCCATCCTGAATTCAAAACAGGCAAAGGAGCTCTCCAGCCCCTGGGGAAACCTAGTGCTTAGACATTTCCTGCCTTAAGGATGCTGTGATTTCCTCCTGTGCCCTCACTTCCGTAACCTGGCTCTGTCCCCCAAACAGACGAGGCTGGTCCATACCTTTTCTTTCTCCAAGCCACCATCCTCTTCACCAGCTTGCTACAGTCACCTCATGCCCCTCTATTTTTGCAGGTCACACAACTGCCGGTACTAGTGCCAGCTTCCCATACTGACCAGGGCACCAAGACTCTGTGGCCTAACCTACTCACACACTGGTCTGAGGCCATCAGAGCCTCCCAGTGCCTCTGCCAGCCCTGGAGCTGTGCCTGGAACACTGCTCCAGCCTCAGCTGGGAAAGTAACCAGAGGGCCGTCAGGCCTCAGTATTTTCCTTCACATACTCTGAACTTTTTCCCCAGCCTCCTCCTGGCTTTGCATGGGTCTACCCTGGGAGTCCATGAGATCAGGGAGCACTGTCCCTCTCCTCATTGTGCCAGGACCAGGCAGGAGCCTCACCTAAGGATCATTGAAAGGTGACTGACGCACTGCTTCTGCCCAGAAGGAGCATTCTGTCCCAGGGGAGGCAGGTACGCATCCAAAGACTGAGCTTGTGCTGCAAATACCTGGTGACTTACATCTCCTTAGGGCTCTCTGGTACCTCTGTCCTTGGGTATGCCTCAGCACGTGCGCAGGGGACTTGTTGATGTGGCGCAGGGTGAGTTTGCAGAACAACTGGTGCCTATGGGCAAGAAGAAAAATTTGCGGGGGCAGTTCACAGTAAAGACTGAGACCCACGCTGCTCCACTGTGGCCACATACAGGAACTGCCGCTAACCCACTGACTCTGACCTCTTCTTTCACCAGAGGGAGGCCCAGCAGCCTGCTCCAGCGCAGAGCAGAGAGAGGCCCGGCTGCACCCCTGCTCCAGCGCGGGGTGCAGCTGGAGACTGCCTGGCAAGGTGCTCCCGGAGCGGGAGCGAAAGCGGGACCCTCCCGTGACGACTGTTTCAATCACACAGTGCAGCAGCATCTAGGTTTCCCGCACGGAAAGGGTAGGGCTGCCGGGTCAGCCCCGTCGGGGGCCGCGCGCGCGAGCTCTGGGCGGCCACCTACGGGTGCTTGCTGCTAGGAACGACGTGCGGCTCGAATTCGGCGTAGTCGAAGGCCGCGGGGGCGCGCGCCAGACGCTGGTACTTCTTGCCGCGGGTGTAGACCTGCAGCTCGGGCAGGCGGCAGGGCAGCTCGTGGCCCGTCAGGGCGCAGCGCACCTGCGGGTGGGCTGCGGGATCAGCGAGATGGGCTCCCTTCGCGCCGGCCCTCCCTCCTTCCCCCAGTACCTCCTTCCCCGCGGACCCTGTCTGCGCCGGGCAGCAGCCGCAGGCTTGGGTGCTGAAGCAGGAAAGCCCGCACGTCTGCAGACGGCTCGCCCATGGCCGGAACTGCAGCAGGCACCACTTGGGCGAGAACGTGGAGACGCTCCGGAAGCGATCGCTGCCGCTCCGGAAGTAGACGCTCCCGACCCGGAAGCGCCCGAAGCGACTTGCGCGATGGCGGCGGCGGCGGCGGCGCGGTGGCTGGGGCTGCGAGCGGTGTGCATGGGGCCGGGACGCACGGGCGCGGGGTGGGCGCGAAGCCTCGCCGTCCCCAGCGTGCTGTTCCCACAGGCCCCGGCCCGCGCTGCCTGGACGCGCGTCGCAGTCGCCTCTCGCTCGGGTGAGCAGGGGCGCGGTGGGCTGCAACGGGGCTGCGGGCGGCGCGGACAGCGCCTCGGGCTTCCACGGTCTCCCAGCTTGAAGGCTTACGCTACCTTTCGTGCACGTAGTTCCGTCTTTAGATTTATGATGGGCAGTGCAGGCGAAACGCAGCTAGGACCGCACTGTGAACAACTGACCTAAGATTATGCAGCGTTTCTCTATGTAGCACAAAGCCAACAGCACCTGGCCAAGCTGCTTATTAACTGCCTTTTAAATACATTTTGAACTAATGTGACTAGTGCAAGTTAGTGCCACAGAATATGTCCTAACACAATACTGAATATAAAGGCACTAGGTAAGCTGGGTGCAGCGGCGCACACGTGTGATCCCAGCGAAGATTGTAAGTTCGAGGCCAACCTCAGCAATTTAAGGAAACTGCTTCAAAATAAAAGTATAAATGAGCCAGGCGCAGTGGCTCACGCCTGTAATCCCAGCTGCTCCGGAGGCGGAGGTAGGAGGATCGCGAGTTCAAAGCCAGCCTCAGCAAAAGTGAGGCACTAAGCAACTCAGTGAGACCCTGTCTCTAAAATACAAAATAGGGCTGGGGATGTGGCTCAGTGGTTGAGTGCCCCCGAGTTCAATCCCCAGTACCAGTAAATAATTAACTAAAAAATATATAAATGAATAAAAAGGACAAGAGATGTAGCTTAGTGGTAGAGCACTCCTTGGTTCCCTCCTTTAAAACGTGGGATGGTTACATGGTCACAATTGGTGGCAGAACCAGTATCGATCCCTAGACCACGTTTATTTGGTCAACAGACATCTCAAGTGTGTGCTGTGGGTTAGGAGCTGGACTGGACAAGGTGCTGCTTGTTGGCTTCTTACAGCAGGTTGTTTACTCCTGTGCCACGCCTCCTGGTGGTACTGGGAGTCTTGAAGAATTGGCTGCCTCAGATCTATTTGTTTTAAGGCTTTGACCCCATGCCAGTGTTGTAAAACTCTCTCCAGGGGTGGCCTGGGGGCCGAGCAGGTGTGGCAGTTCTATGGCAGAAGCACCTGCCACAAAAACGGAAGATGACTCCTTTCTCCAGTGGTTTCTGCTTCTCATCCCTGTGACTGCCTTTGGCCTAGGGACTTGGCAGGTAAAGACTGGCATCTAGTTAAAATGGCCCTGAGCCTTTGACAGTACTGCCATCTGCTTGGCTTATGCTCTCTTTCTGTAGGTCCAGCGTCGGAAATGGAAGCTGAAATTGATTGCAGAATTAGAGTCTAGAGTTATGGCTGATCCCGTCCCTCTGCCAGCAGAGTGAGTGTGGCAGCCCATGGGTGATCACTGAGATCAGCTGTGGGGCTCTGACTTCTCCTTCCTGTGCTGTCAATCACTTCCCTGACCTCAGACAGGAGTTCTCAAAATCAGCTGTCCTGCTTGGCTTTCTGTTAACAATAGACCATCCCTGTGAAGCCATCTGAGGCCACCAGACATAGAAAAGTCTTATTTTTGATGCTGGGTTTCACTATTTTTTAGGCCTTGAGGGATTCCCCACAGTGCTGACAGCCCCTTTTAGCAATGATTCTTAGTTGGTGGGTGAATGCAGATAATGTAGGCCTCACCATGAGGATAGTATTTTGAAAAGTGCCTGAAGGATTCTACTGACCTTTCCCCATCATTTGAAAACACTCTCCTGGAGAGATGGATCTATGCAGATAAGTTGAATTTGAAGTGGATACAATGTGCTGTATTTGACTTGCAGATGGCATGGGTCCCACATCATATTTTATTAATTTTACATAAAATAGTCACACAGGAATTAACACTTTCATCTTCTCGTAAAAACTTTTACTCTGGTGGCACAGATTCACATTCTCACATGGCACCAAAGGGCTAGAACTGAGGACCTGGCCCTGTAGAGGGCTAGACCCGGCAGTCTTCACTGTGTCTGGCCCTGGTGGGGTGGTAGTTTGCAACCTACTCTAAGAGGATTTATTTTTATGCCAAACCTTGCTTGTCTACAGCTCTTTTTCCCTCTTTCTGTAGTCCAATAGAACTGCAAAATCTGGAGTATAGGCCAGTTAAGGTCAGGGGGCGCTTTGATCACTCCAAAGAGCTGTACATGATGCCCCGGACCATGGTGGATCCTGCCCGGGAGGCCCGGGAAGCTGGTCGGATCTCCTCCTCAACTGAGAGTGGGGCCTATGTAGTCACCCCCTTCCACTGCACCGACCTGGGGTGAGTAGGCCATGTGGGGTGCTGACTGGCCTGCTGGGTGCAGTCAAAGCAGATCAGTTTTCATCACCATGTCCCCCTACCCTTGGTAAGACCTTGAAATCCTAGATGCTCAGAAAGTGTCAGTGCCCTGCTAAGTTTGAAATCCCTTATTCTTATGTGAAATAAGCCATGTCAGAATACAAACATCCTTAGTCAATTCATTTTATTACTGAATAGGTTCCGTATGTAAGCTCTGAAGGGCAAGTTGTCGTCGAGATGAGCTCTGCAGAATCAAACAGCAGCCAACACACTGGTGTAGGACAGCACAACAGGAAGGGCAGTTAAAATCCCCCAAATGCTTAGTGGGAGCTGAGGTGGGGAAGGTTAACACTCGAGGTAGCAAATGGGACAAACTTCCAGAAAAAGAGGAGTGCACGTTAAGATACCTGGGGCTCCTGTTTAGTCCATGTTCCAGTTCTGGGGTGGTGCCCAAAAGCTGCATGACCAGCAGGTTGTGTGCCAGGGCTGCTTCAGTGGCCACCCTGGTTAGGAGGGGGCTGCAGCGGGAGAGATGGTCCCTGAGCTCTGGCCATGGGTAATGTGGATCACCAGTTGCATACTGCTGTGGTGGAGCACAAGGAAGGAAAGCAACAGAGCAGGCTGTGCACCACAAACTGCAAATAGGGCTAGTGAGAGTGGTGGTTGGTGGAGGGGAGATTTTCCCATCAAGAAAGGCACTAGGGCCAGACTTGTAATCCCAGGACCAAAGCCAGTCTCAGCAAGGCGAGGCACTAAGCACCTCACTGAGACTCTGGATGTATAATACACCATAGGGCTGGGGATGTGGCTCAGTGGTCAAATGCCTGGTTATCACCCACCCCACAAGGGAGGGGCACAAGGGGTTGCTGGAATGTACTCTATGGATAGTCCTCAACCAGATCCCCAGTGTTACAAAACCCCTCGGATTCTTCCTTGGTCCTAAAGCTATGCTGTAGGTGCCCAAGCGACAATCCTATGCAAAAACTTTTCTGTGTTTGAAAGTGCTTTTTTATTACCCTAGAGTCACTATTCTGGTAAACCGAGGGTTTGTCCCAAGGAAGAAAGTGAATCCTGAAACTCGGCAGAAAGGCCAGGTAAGGGATGGATATGGGTCTTTGGTCATTTCCCTGTTGCAAGCCCCTGTAAAGAGGAACCTCATCTTCCTTTTTAGGTTGAAGGAGAAGTGGACCTAGTCGGGATGGTGAGGCTTACAGAAACCAGGAAGCCCTTTGTTCCTGAGAATAATCCAGAAAGGAACCATTGGCATTACCGGGACCTGGAGACCATGGCTAGGGTCACAGGCGCAGATCCTGTTTTTATTGATGCTGACTTCCGTATGTTGAGACCAGCCCTCCCCCAGAATAAGTATCCCTGCCTTTTCTTGGCCCAGTTGTGCTGTATTCTAGGGTGTGTGTATGTGTTCAGGGGTGGGGCAAGACACCAAGAAACACTTGAAGGGCGATGGGTTATGGGTCAAGTAACAACCTGAGGATTGCTGTGCCAAGGCAGCTAGCTGTTGGGAAGCAGCAGCAGAGGTGAGGACAGGGGCCCACTGTCTTTGCAGAGAGCACAGTACCTGGAGGACCCATCGGAGGGCAAACCAGAGTCACTCTGCGGAATGAACACATGCAGTACATCATTACCTGGTCAGTCGCACTGCCCCTGGTCCCCTCTTTTTAGTGCACTTCACAGCCTAACAGCTTAATTTTCTTTCAACCTAAGGTATGGACTGTGTGCAGCTACATCATACCTGTGGTTTAAAAAATTCCTGCGCCGGACACCTGGCATGTGAAGAAGTCAGTACAGAATGGTCCCTAAATAATCAGAAGGTCCCTGCATAGATGGCATTTCAAGAGACTTGATTTTACTGGATCATGTATTATCAGTATAAATAAATGCTTTATAGACTCACATTCATTGCTACCTTAAATAAGACAGTGACTGGTCAATCACAAAACCCTGGCTTGGTTTCTGAGCATTTTACTGCTATATACAGCCTTTTCATGCAAGTTACACAATGAATTTCTAAAGCTCTCACGCTACAGGGCATGCCCTTGCTACTGCCTGAAACAAGTTTATTGCCTTCAGCCCAAGACACTGGATGAAGGACAATTTATTATTTTTATGTACAGAAATGCAACAGCATACATTTATCCCAGTTTAGTGGCGAGTTCTTTAGCCTTTGCCTTTTCCAGCTTGGCAATGCGAGCCACAGATTTTGGACCCAGGACGTTGCCTCCCCAGTGGCGACGGATCTGAAATGAAAAAAGAAGCAGTTAGCTTGGCCTGCCATCTCTCAAGGATTAACACTTGGGAGTTTTGGTTTGCTTGAGTCAGCCAGTCCCTTGAAAGCTTGATTCACCCAAGAAGAGTACTTAGGTAGTTTCTTACCTCATCATATCTGTCATTGTAGTTGGTTCTGATAGCTTCCACCAACTTAGCCAGAGCTCCTTTGTCTTCCCTGGGTGGGGGAGAAAAGGTGGGCTTTCAGTTTTAGTTACTCTTTAGGAAATTCCATTTTTAGTTCCAAATAAGCCTTTTTGCCTCAGATATAACATGACCACATGATTCATTCAGGTGAAGAAATTCTTAACCATCATAGGCAAAAGGTGAAATATGTAGGTTCATTAAGCTAGAACATTGGTCTTTTTAATGGAAGAGGGTTACTGGGGATTGAACTTAGGGACACTATCACTGAGCCACACCCTAAGCCCTATTTTGTATTTTATTTAGACAGGGTCTCACTTGAGTCACTTAGCACCTCGCCATTGCTGAGACAGACTTTGAACTCATGATCCTCCAAAATCTACAGGTGTGCGCCACCTCGCACATTTTAAGACATTGGTCTTAAAATGTCTTAAGGGAGCAAATGGACTGGGGGTTGGGGCTACACACTTACGAGTTAACCTGTGTGAAGGCAACAGTGGTGCATGTCTTCCTGTGAACCAGACGTCCCAGCCTAGCCTTCCCCTTGATGATGCAGTAAGGGACTCCCATCTTGCGACACAGAGCAGGCAGGAAGACAACCAGCTGGAAGAAAGCACTGGCTGGAAAGTGTGTTTTGACCAAAGCAGTCTCTTAAGAGATCTAGGTTGGCCATTGCTCAGAGTTAAAAAGCTCAAGTATATGCACTTCAAGGTCTAATTCAGCAAAAGGCTTGCATCATTGCAAGAGCCAGGCATGAACTGGATCACTTGTCAGTGATGTCCTCAATTAAGGGGACTATCCTTGTCACCCACTTTGGTCTTATTATGCCAGACTCATCATTAAGCCTGTTCCACCCTGGTTTCAGTAACCTGTTTAAAAATATGCCCAACCCACCTCGATGGGATCCACATCATGTGCGATCACTACCAGCTGAGCCTTCTTGTTCTCCACCAAGGTGGTGACAGTATTGACCCCTGCAAAACACAAACACTCTGTGAGCATTCAGACATGGCTCTGGTGACAGAAAACAATTGTAATGAGCTGTGACTCAGTGTTAAAAAGCTCGGATTTCAACCCTCACAGTGATTTCGGGTGAAACTGATGCATCATAGCACAGCCTACCCCACTTTTTGCCCCCTCTACAGAAAGGCCCATTCACCTGCTCGAAGGACAGGTGGTCTCTTTGTGGGAACATCCCCTTTGCCAGCAGCCTTCTTCTCAGCCCGGGCCAACAGCCTCTGCTTCTTTTCCTGCTTGGTCTCAGGTCTGTACTTGTGGGCAAGCTTAAGCAGCTGGGTGGCTGGGAAAGCATTCTTCAGTTAGGCTCAGGTAACACAACATAAATGCCTTAATAATGGTATACATAAGAACTGAGTAGAAAAAACTCTAGAGCCACATGTCACATCTTTTCAGTTAGGTCAGCTCCTTGTTCGGAGTTACGCTGGTACATCCCAGAGCCCCACCTGTTTGGCGGTCCAAGGCCTGGGTGAACTGGTTTATCGCAGGAGGCACTTTCAGCCGCTTATAGAGAATAGCCCTTTGCCGCTGCAGCCGGATGTAGCGGGGCCATTTTACAAAGCGGGTAAGGTCCCTTTTGGGCTGGATGTCCTGTCCTGGGAAGTAAAGGGCAACACTGTCAGTAAGGCTGACTGGTGTCAGGTTTCCGCCTCCGGTCTGGGTGCTGTGCATCAGCGATCTTGGTGGTCTAAATGTCATCACCATCTTTCAGATAGCAAATATTCTTTCACATCATCTGCACGCACACGCCTTGGACCGGAGACAGCGCCCCTTCCCTCTACAGCGGGAGCTCCCCCAGCACCACTCGGCGGACCAGTCCGCTCCCTGGGGGCGGCGGGGGCCCCATCCCCGGGGCCGCCTGCACTCACCGATGCCGAAGTTCTTCGGCCTCTTCTCGAAAAGCGGGTTCACTACCTTCTTAGCCTCCTGCTTCTTGACCACGGCGGGGGCCGGGGCCACCTTCTTCCCCTTGGCCTTCTTTCCCTTCGGCTGCGCAGGGGAAGAGCCAGTTAGTCGGCGCCGCTCTCGCGCCCCTTGGCCCGCACGGCGCTGCTCGCGCCCCCGTTCCCCCACGTGCGCTTCGGCCCAGGACACCCGCACGGTCGGGCTGCTCCGCGGAGTGGCTCGGAGGCGGAGTCCGAGGCAGCAACCGTAGCCGCCTAAGCCTCGGCCCGCCCAAGTCCCGCACTGCAGCGCTATGCTCCCCGCTGGCCCAACTCCTCTGTGCCAAGCCCAGTAGGGCTCCAGTAGGGATCCACTAGCGCCGAGCGGAGCCGCGGACCCGCGCAGCCGTGTCCCGAAGCGGATGACGGCGGATGAAACCCGGACCCAGATCCGGGGCCAGACGTTGCACCACGACTCACCATCTTGGTCGGCAGGAGGAGAGAGAAAGAAGAAAGAATTGTGGGTAATAAGTAAGCTGCCTCGGATATCGCGATAGCCGGCGCCTTCGCGGGATTTCGACCTTAAAGCGACAGGACTCCTTAAAGCCTACCGTCGGGGGGGGGGGTCGGGGGGGGGCGGGGGGAGGAGGGCCTAGCGCGGCGCGTGCGCGGCTGACGCTCTCGGCCAGTGGCCGGGCGACCGCTGAGAGCTGGCTGGGAGTTGCTCTTGCAGGCGTGGGCGCCTGTGTTGCCGGGCCGACTTTCCTTCCCGACTGCGCAGAGGCTCCGCTCCTTCGCGGCCCAGGCCCGAGTCTGCGGTGTGTGTTCGAGCTGGGCGGCGTGACCAGAGCTGCGGGCCAGGCCACGCAGGCCTTCGCCGGCGGTCGCCCGTGGTGAGCGCGGCGAGCGGAAGAGGGCGCAGGGTCAGAGGGACCCGGGTGGGGGCCCGTGAAGGAGCCAGGCCGCCGCCGGCGGGGCGCATATGCCAGCCCCGAACGGCGTGGTCCGCGCGGTCCGGGGCAGGCAGTGGGTGCCTCGGGTGCTGGGGCGAAGAGAGGTGCACCCGAGGAGCGCCGCGGCCCCCGCGGAGCCCGCCTGCTGAGATGGATCCGTGTCTGCTGGACGAGGGTGGCTAAGTTCAGTCCTGTACTTTCTGGTGCCAGGCCCCGCTACGCATCTGAGGCCGACCATGGCCCAGCAGAGAGCCCTGCCCCAGAGCAAGGAGACGCTGCTGCAGTCTTACAACAAGCGGCTCAAGGATGATGTCAAGTCCATCATGGACAACTTCACCGAGATCATCAAGACCGCCAAGGTGGGGATGCTGCCCTGGCCTCCAGAGAACGAGGGAGAGCAGGGACTGAGCCGCTCTGCTTAATGGTTTTTGACCAGCACCCGTGTCTGTGGGGGCTGCACTCTGTGACGGGTGGGGATGCTGCGGGGAACAGGTTTTTGTCCCCTTGGAGAAAACGTTTTGGGCTGGAGTGGCGTGCTGTAGTAAGAAACATGTCAACAGATAAATAAATGAGCCAAATACTTACAAGCCTTGGTAGAGTAATAGGGAATTTTGGCCTAGTTGCTGAGCTTCCAAGGCCAGTGCTTACTAGCCATGTGGGTTTGATGGAGACCCCATGCCTCTGTGCCTCAGTTTCCTCTGTGGTGTGGGTCCTTGAGATTAGATTAATTTATCTGTGTAAAGTAGTTATCACAGGGCCTGGCACAGAGCAAGTGACCCAGACCCTGTAGCTGTTGCTAGTGAGTGTGAACAGGTGGAGGGCAGGAAAAAAGGGGGGCGGGGCATCTCTCCAGGCAGGCAAAGCAGTCAGTGTCTTGCCAGGGTCAGGTAAGTCCACTGACTGCTGCAGTAGCACCACATGGAGCGGGATCTTTCCAGACCTCTGCAGACGTGACTGGCTTGGTCAGTAATAGTAATGATGGGAGTTCCTGTTGATTTAGCACCATGTCAGGTTGTGCTGAGGACTCTATGCTGTCCTGTGCAATCTTTGTAAGGACTTTGAGGCAAGGGCCCTTGTCCTTTCCACATTCAGACAGGAAACTAACATCCAGAGTTCTCAGCAATTTGCCCAATCACTTGGCCAATAATAGCAGAGCCAGGAGTGTCTCAGGAGGTCTGGCTCTTATTGTTGAGGGTGTCCTAACACCCTTGCCCTGCCCTGTCCCTCACAAGGCTTGTCAGAAGCCATGCCCAGGTTGACAGCCAGGACTTTAGTGCCAGCAATGCTGAGCTGGCCTCCTGGTTCCTCAGTTTATTTCTGAGACAGCTTGGGCTCAGTGAGGTCTATCCCAGCATCAAGGTAACCTGTCTGTAAGCAGGAACAGCAGCACAGCTCCTGTGAAGTTTCGTGAGAGAAAATGGTCAACCAGTGGTGCTTAATATGAGGCCTGACATTCAGGAAATGGACACTTAAAACATTCTTCATCCTTTATTCTGTAGTTCCAACAGTTTGATTAGTGCCATCAAGTGACACTAATCTCTGGCAAACAGGGTTTTACACCCCAAAAAAGTTCTGGCCAAGAACTAATAGTGCATGCCTGTAATCCCAGATACTCGGGAAGCTGGGTAGGAGGATTGCAAGTTTGAGGCCAGCCTGAGCAACTTAGCAGGACTGTGTCTCAAAACATAAAATAAAAAGGGCTGGGATTGTGGCTCAATGGTGGAGCACTTGCCTAGCATGTGTGAGGCACTGGGTTAATTTCTCAGCACCGTATGTAAATAAATAAAATAAAGGTCCATTGACAACTAAAATAGTTAAAGGGCGTAGGGTGCTGGGGATATAGCCCAGTGGTAGTTTCCAGTACAGGGGGAGGGGGGAAAATCTTGGCCAAGTTAGTTAAGACACCTCTCTACATCTGGCAGTGTCCGTTTGTCTTGGAGAAAGTGCCAGTTGTCTTCCATAAAAAAGAACAGAGAGTTCATTGAATCTCGTGATTAGAGCACCAGCGCCAGGTGGTAGAAGGCAGGATACACTCTAGCAATGTGGGTATGGGAAGCCAGGTCAGGCCAGCAGTGGGGACTCCATGACTGCCAACTGGGCTGATTCTTTTTTGTTTGCCCCCAGATTGAGGATGAGACGCAGGTGTCTCGGGCTACTCAGGGTGAACAGGACAATTACGAGATGCACGTGCGGGCTGCCAACATCGTGAGTTATGTGGAGAGCACGACTGGAACTCCAGAGGGTCATGGGTTTGTGGTTGGAGTATAGTTCTTCTGCCCTCTTTCTACCTGCAACAGAAGGACAATGCAGGGGTGCTGGGTCTCATCTGTTGGCAGCTTTTGAGAATGGGGTCGGGGCAAATCACTTCTCAGGAGATTGTCCCCAAGAGAGCTGCTGGGAAGGGGCAAGGCGGGTAGTCTGCTAAGTCCATTCTGTGACTTTGGGGGCCAGGAAGATAGAGATGCTGCTGATGTGAAAGTTGCCTGAGTCCAGATTGAAAAGGCACATTGTCGAGTGAACCAGCTGTCTGTGCAATGTGATCCTCCTGGAGTCGTGGGGAAACCCAGCTAGCCAGAGTTTCTGCATGTGTGCCCATGGATGAGTGTGGGAAAAGGCCCCCCCGAGGAATTCTGCCCAACTGGCAGCTGTGCTTCCCAGGGAAGAGTAGGGCAGGAGGCAAAACAGGATATAGGCTTCTCTATGGGGTTGAGTTGGATAAGCAGGATGTGCTTGTGCCTGACTGGTCAGATTGGAGATGGGTCCTGTGGGGGTAGAAACCAGAGGTTGATGGGAAGGTTTGGGGAGAAAGCTTATCTCATGTGCTGTTCAAGGCGGGTCAGCTTCACAGATGACCCTGTGCGGTTGGGTCTGTCGTCCCCACCTTGCAAACAAAAGAAGCTGAGTCTCCCAGGGAGGCACTACTGGTCCAGGGTCAACCACAAGACCCCCATTCCCTCAACCTGTGACTACCCTGATTCTATGCTGCAGGTACGGGCTGGAGAGTCCCTGATGAAGCTGGTGTCTGATCTCAAGCAATTCCTGATCCTCAACGACTTCCCATCGGTGAATGAGGCCATTGACCAGCGAAACCAGCAGCTGCGCGCTCTGCAGGAAGAGTGTGACCGCAAGCTCATCACCCTGAGGGACGAGGTCTCCATCGACCTATACGAGCTGGAGGAGGAGTATTATTCGTCCAGGTACAAATAGGGCTGGACTCCGTGCAGGAAGGAGCCTGCCTACTTGAGCCTGGCCCAGCCTGGAAAGTCTCTCTGTTTTTTCACAAACGTGCCTGGTCTTGGCTCTGCTGCCCATGTTCCAAAGCAGAGTCCCTGGCCAGCATGATCAATCAACAGACAGTTCACAGCCACCTGCCGGGGCCCTGGCCTCTCCCTCAGTGCAGTGGGATGAGAATCACAGGACGTCTGGTGTTGGGGAGGTTGAGTCTGGAGAACAGTGTCCTAGGGGCTGGGCCTAGTGGCTCTTGGTTCTTGAATCCATATGTAGATGTGGCAGCCAAGCCTGGGCTGGCCCCTCAGCGTCCCACAGGCCCACACCCATGTCCAGGATGCCACTATTTGCCTTAGGATGCAGCTACAGGTGAATGCTGTTGAATCCCATGGTGTGGAGGTGGGGCAGCCATGGCAGGGAGGAGGAAGGAGCCAGCAGACTTCCTTAGCAGCCAGGGCCTCATGCTTGGGTGCCTGGTATCTGGTCTGCTCAGTCTTATTCATGGAGCTGGAGACTCCTGCATGCCAGCCTCAGCAGTAGCAGGACCCATCAACCTAGCCAGCATGGGGCCCCTCAGAATCCTAACACCTGAGTCTGTGAGCCTGAGGGGTCCCACAGAAATCAGAGTCCAGTGTGATGGCTATGGGGGGAAGCTCAGGCTAGACACAGGGGCCTTGCAGCTCTGTCCCACTAGCTTGGGAAGTCAAGATTCAGTCCAGCAGTTTCGAAATCCAGCCACTAAACCTCCTCCCTCCCTGCTCATGAATTTAAAATGTAATGGCATAGTGAGTGGTACACTTCTGTAATCCCCACAACTTGGGAGGCTGAGTCAGGAGAATGCGAGGTTCAAGGCCTGTGTTGGCAATTCAGTGAGACTCTCTCAAAAATAACTGGGGGGATGGGGTTGTGGCTCAGTTGTAAAGCAGTTGCTTAGCATGTGTGAGGCACTGTGTTTGATTCTCGGCACAACATATAAATAAATAAATGTCCATCAACAACTAATAAAATATTAAGGAAAAGAAATCCAAAGATTTAAAAGAAAGGACTGGGGCTATAGTTAAGTGGTAGAGCATCCCTGGGTTCCACCCCCCAGTACAATGAAAAAAAAATAAAAAAATAAAATGTTCCTTTCTGACCCACGGAGGCCTTGCTACGGAGTCAAATGGCCCGTGGGGCCATTCTATGTCTCTCCCATAGGCAACCTGTCTTCTCCAGCCAGCCTGCCCTTCCCATGTCCCTGTGGTGAAGCTCTGGCCTCTGCTTAGGTGTTCACTTCAGCAATCTGGGCTTCACCATGCCGGGGCCAGGGGGTTTCATCCTCCCCTCTCCTTCCTCTGTGCCTAGTGACCTGCTGGCCACTCTGGCCTCCCTCTGCGTGGGCTGCTCCTGCCTACACTCTGTCTGCTCACTGCTTGCTCTTTCTGGCTCTGCTTCCTTTTCCACTCCTGGGGATGCCACTCAGTGCCCAGGTGGTTCTGAGCCTGAATGCTAAGGGCAGATGCAGAGGCCAGAGCCGCTGCATTTTAGACAGCTGTGGGCACGACCTTGCTCTGAGTGGTTCCTGCCAGGACTGATGAGCCACTCCTTGCCTCAAGTATTCCCTGCGAGGTGGGAAACCACAGAGAGCCCAGCAAGTCCTAAGGCCAGAGAAGCAGTGTGGGGAGGTGCAGGGCCTGTTTTCCCGATAATCATCCTGTTTAGGTCAAGTTGTAGGCAGGGTCTCTGCTGTCAAGGCTCCTTACAGTCTGATGACCTCCCTAGCCAGGGAGGGGATGGGCAGCCAGGCGGGAGGGGACCTTCAGAGAGGCCCATGTGGAATTGCTCAGCAAGTTGAAAGTTGGAGGGCCTGCTGAGCCTCTCGGATGCAAGGGTGGTCCCTGTGGCCCCTCTCTCAGCCAGGCCTGCTGCAGAGGGGCAACCACAGATAGAAGGGAAGGCAAGTTGGGGTGGTGTTCATGTTTTCTTAACTCTGCTTCTATCTTGCTTTCCCCTTCCCTGGCTTTCCTCTTGCCTGCTCCTGTCCCTCCCTGGGGTTTCTGGTGGTGGAAAAGCTCAAGTCTTTGCGAAGCTAATGACCTGCCTCTGTGCGAAGCTTACTGGAGGCTGGACCTCGACACAGACTCCGCTGATGGTCTCTCAGCCCCTCTGCTGGCGTCCCCGGAGCCCGGTGTTGGCCCTCTGCAGGCTGCAGCCCCTGCCCACTCACACACTGGTGGCTCTGGCCCCACGGAGCATGCCTGAGCTTCTCAGGGCCACTCTACCAGGACCCGTAGTTCATCAGGAACAAATCCAGGGTTCTGCCCTGGATGTCCACCACAGCCCTGTTTCTCTCAGCCTCCACTTCCAGTTGAGTACTCTAGGACCCCCTGTGGCCTCCTTTAACTGGCCAGGCCAGGGTCAGCCCCAGGACAGTTGGGGAAAGTTGTTCAGGGTGGCCCACCATGTCTAGCTGCTACCTTCCTGACTGACCAGGTCAGAGAAAGTTGGTCTTGTTGAGGACCTGGACTGTGGGGCAGTGGTGATGCAGGATACCAGGAAGACAACCTGTGAATGTATTTAAAATTGGGAGGGGAGCTAGGTATGGTATGCACATCTGTAACGCCAGCAACTCAGGAGCCTTGAAGCAGCAGGATTGCGAGTTCAAGGCCAGCCTGGCAAAAAAAATGGGGATGCAGCTCAGCTCAGTGGTAAAGCACCCCTGGGTTCAATCCTCAGTAATCCCCCAACACACACACACAGAAAAAAGGGGGGGGGGCTTAGTGGAGAGCAGTAGCCAAGCCCTTAAGCCTTGGCTCCTGTGCAGAGACCTGCTTACTACATCTTTCCCCAAGCACAGATGTGCCTGCTGTATTATAGACTGCCTGCCTGGGGAAGGCTGTGTGAGCAGATGGCCCACTCACAAGGCAGCCTGCCAGGGCTTCTTCCTGAGTTGTTATGTCTGTTTTGCTACTTTTGTAATGAAACTTAAAATAAAAATACCACCTTGTGTGTTGGTTCCTCTCTTTCTCACTTCTGGTCAGTCTAATACTGCCTTGGATTCCTAGCAGCTTCTGCATAACTCCTTGCTCTACCTGGATGGCTTTGGGCTCCAGCCTCCTGGGTGCTCCCAGTAGGTCTTGGATGTTTGGTGAATGAATGGAAAACTTGCTGTTGCACATCACATGGTTCGGGAATCAGTACTTGGGTATCATCTACTTCTTAATGCCATTGAGTCTGTGCTGCTACACCTGCATTTCAGAGAGAAAGAGGACACAGGCTTGCAAGAGGTGAGCTGTGCCCACTTCCCAACTCTGTGGCTGTAAAGTGACAAACAGGACTTGAACTCTTAGGAGCCAGACCTGTTAGGTGCAGGGCAGGCTGAATGAATGTCAGCTGCAGGATAACCTGGGGGAACTCGGCTCTGTCTGGTCCTTTATCACCTGTTTTCTGGTCCTTTATCACCTGTTTGCGTCCAGGCTCAACAGTTGACCCCCACCCATCTGATGCAACAGAAACCCACATTCGACCCTGCCGCATCTGCCTGAAGGCAGATGACACCTGTAGCAACTACTGTGATCCAATTTTGTACGCCAACAAGGCAGCTTGCACACCAAGAGACCCCATTAGATTTGGACTACAAAAACTCTCCTGCTGGGCCCCCTCTCTTGCTCTTTTTTTCTCTCTTTGCTCCCCCCCCTTCTCTTTCCCCCGTTCTTTCTCTCTTGTCTTTCTCACGGCTGCAATAAAGATCTCTTGGTCTCTCCCAGTGTTGTGGTCACTTTCAAGACCCAGTGCCTTTTTGGTACCAGGTGTACCTTTGACATGCAGAGACTACAGTGCTAAGGTGGCTGCAGTGGTGGTAGACCAAAGACTAGGGCTGCATCCAGTGGCTATCCACCTGCTTCACCTCCTTCCCATGAGGAAGATCACTGTTCCTGATATTGGCAGCCCAGGATCCAGCGTTGAGGAACTGCAGCCTGTCACCAGGGAGCCCCAGACCTCAGGAGCTGGCAAGTGGGAAGGGGGGTCAGAAGCTTGCTCAGAGGGAGTTTTTATTGATAAGATGTGGGGTGGTCTCCAGCATTTTAACTGTCGGAAGTTTCTACGGAGCCGCTAAGGAGAAAAGGAGTCCCCTACACCTGGAAGCTGAGAGTTGGGGGAGGGGGACTGGAAAGAACTGGCCCCGATGAGGGTCTTGAATAACCTAGAAACAATTTTCGAATCATGAATTTAATTTGCTGCTTCAACACTATATTTCCCATTCAAAAGCGGAGGGGTTTCTTCTGCCTCTCCAGCCCTGGGAGAGACGTCCTCCATATCCCGCAGTCTCTCGAGCCTGTGTTGGAGGGGTTGTAGCCTAGACTTCAGCTACGCGTGTTAGAGTAGCCGGTGGCCGCCACGTGACCAGCCCCGCTCAACGCCGGGCTCCACCGCGCGGCAGGGGCTGGGCGGAGTGAGGAGCGCCCGTCGGAACTGAGGCGAGCGGTGGCCCCGCGACCCCAGGCTCCGTTTTGCATTAGCGGGAGGTTCCTTGGTCCTCAGAGCGGACAGGACAGCGCCGCGCCGCACGGGCGCGGACGTGCGCGAACAGGAGCCGGGCCTGAGCCCCGGCCGCTGCAGGGGCACTCGTCCCGGACGCGGCGGCGCTCGGAACTGAGCCGGGGGCACCGCGCAGGCCACACCCCTTCCGGCGCGGCCAGGCCCGACCAGGCGAGCGCGGGCGCGGAGGCAGGCACCGCCAGACGAGCGCCGAGTCGCCGCGCCGGGCCCACGAGTGTGCCGCCATGGCCTCCCTGCAAGCCAAGGACGCCTACTTACAGGACCTGGCCAGGAAGATCTGCGCCCCGCACGACCCCGAGCCACCGCGGCTCGCGCGGGGTAGGCGGGCCGGGCTGGGCCGGGATCGGGTCCGGTCCGAAGTCGGTCTGGCTGGGATCGAGGTGGCCTGGGGCCTGGCGGAGTGCGGTCGGGGTCTCAGCTCCGCGGAGTCTCGGAGGAGGGCAGGAGAGCTCTCGTCCGGCCCCGCTCCTGGGGTGCTCGTGGGTGCGAAAGCTGCCCTAGGAGCAGGGGGCAGAAGTCCTTGGCCGGAGAACGCGTCGGTCTTGATTTCCTTGGCCTGTCTTCCGCGAGAGAAAGATCAAGAGCTGTTTTAAGGGTCTAGATTAGGGGCCGGATCCAGTCCAGGAGAGGGTCCGATGGAGTCAGGACCAGAGGCTTCGCAGGGAGCCCCACTCCAGGCAGGGGCTGGGGCAGCCATCTGACCCCAGTTAGCCCTCAAGTGGACCAGAGAGTCTGTGAAATGCCGAACAAAGTGTAATCTACCTTACTCTTGGGCATTACCCTGACGCGTGGCCCCGGGGTGAAGGGAGCACCCCTGCTCTCAGCAAGCCCCCTCCTGCCAAGGAGGACCGCTCCTCCCCTGGAGCTGCTGGGGCTGTCCTGGTGCATCTCCAGCTCTCCACCTGGAGTAGTCTATAGGGAGCAGTGAGCAGTCAGTCAGAGGTGGAGGGAGGGAGGAAGAGGGCTCCTGCCATGAGGCAGGAGAATCTCGAGCTCAAAGCCAGCCTCAGCAATGGCCAGGTGCTAAGCAACTCAGTGAGACCCTCTCTCTAAATAAAATACAAAATAGGGCTGGGGATGTGGCTCAGTGGTTGAGTACCCCTGAGTTCAATCCACAGTACTTAAAAAAAAAAAAAATAGGAATGGACAGGGGCTTGATTCCCACTCAAGTCAGCACACAGGATTTTCTTGGGCAGAGGTGCCATAACTTGCTGCTGGACATGGATGTGTGTGTCTCCCCAGCTCAGGTGCTGAGCTGGTGCACATCCTGGGCTTTGTGCAGGAGAATCCTTTGTGCTGGGTCCTGCACATGGTTGTGTGCTAGGTTTTGGTGTGTGGCTGCTCTGTTTTTGGAGCTTTTGTTTCTGAGCACTGTGGCCTAGTGTTGCTGGCTCCTCAGCCTACCTGAAATCTACCTGATTTCCTTCATGGGATCAAAGTCCTTGTGGGATCAAAGCCTTTGTGAGACCTTCCTGTTGCTGTGTGGGGCATAGAGATTGGAATAGCAGCTTTTTGTCACTTTATATCTCAGCTAGTAAAATTCAAGGCTCAGAAGCTTCTGGACCCCGAAAAAAGAAAAGAAAGAAAACACCAAAAAAATTCCGGGAACAGGAACAGAAGGCTTCAGAGCACAAAGCCAAGACCCTTGGGGAGAAGAAATCTCCAGTGGCTCCTGGGACCAAGAAGCCAACAGCAAACAAAGAGGAGCCTTCCATCTCCACAGAGGCCCCTGCAGGTAAGGGGCTCCAGGGCAATGGGGTGGGGATTAGATGCAGATGTGGCCTCCTCTGCTCTTAAGTCACCATCAGGGCACTGGGTATTCAGAGCTTCCCAGAGAGTGAAAATCACAGAAATGCAGTGGGTAGTAGACTGGGAAGAGCATGGTGATCTGGGCTATGTGGACCAAGACCATGGAGGACATGGCTATGAGTTTCTCAGCATCTGGAGCAGTGAGACTGGTAGGAAGAATTTTTTTTGTACCACAGTGACCCAGATATAACCATCCAATCCAGGAGGCTGTAGGGGCCAATCCACATGGAAGAGGTGGATGGAGTGGAATTTAATGGATTGGCCTGTAGATCCGCAAGTGGCCACTGGGGACAGGAGGGCAGTGAGTACAGGCTGAGGCTTAGGTATTGGGCCCTGGGGAAGGACATCAAGAGGGGCCTCCTTTCAGCCCTGTCTCCCTCCCTGCAGGTGGCCAGGCTGCAGCACCTGATTCTGTCTTTGCCTTGGATGTCCTGCGCCAGCGGCTGCATGAGAAGATCCAGCAGGCTCGAGGCCAGGTAGGTGGGCCACCTCTGGAGCACTCATCAGTATGTCTTTGGAGTGGCCTCCCTACCCAGCTCCATGCTCGGGGTGGGAGGGGGCTCTTAGCAGGGAGCAGGGTCTGCCCTGGGGGAGCAGGTGCCCTTCCCTGCTTCCTGGAGAACCTCAGTCCCAGGGTCCCTGGCCTTTTGCTTGTTCCTCTCTCCCATGGGTCTCAGAAGCCCAGCCTTCTCCTCTGGGAAGCCACCTTTGTTGGCGCCACAACGGCTAGCATGGCCCATCTGTTCTTCTAAAGGTCACCATGAGATGAGGTGACTGGCCAGCCTCCATTTTTGTGCTGAGTAGTGCTGTTTACTCTCTGACCTGGGCACCCACCTTTCCCTGGGACCCCTCCCGTCCACCTCTGCTCTGCAGACAGCTTCAGCTTCTCAGCCTCCTGGGTCATGACCACTGGCCCTTCCTTGGTTCCTAAGAGGCCGTCAAGGTTCTGGGCCCTCATTCCTGCAGCACAGGGCTGGGTAGGTCTGGTGCAGGGCACTCTTATTGGCTGTGGAACTGAAAGGCCATTGGGATGGGGCTGCAGTGCAGAGCCCTAGTGCACAGGACCGGCTTGCTCATGCAGAACCAGGCCCCGCTCAGAACTGCAGTGACACGCGTGGCAGTTGGTGAAACTGCGGTTGGCCTGAAGCTGGAAGCCACCCTCTTGACCCTCACCCTGGAGCCACTGGCACCTTGGGCAGCAGTCCTGTTGAGGAGCTCCTCTTGCACCTTCCAGCCCTAATTCCATCTCCGCCCTGTGTCAGGGCAGGGCCCTGAGGCTGGGAGGACTCTGAGCAGACCCTGCTTCCCCCAGGATGGTACGCTCTCTGCTGCCAGACTGGAGAAAAGGCAGCGGAGAAAGCAGGAGCGCGATCGGAAGAAGAGGAAGCGGAGGGAGCTGCTAGCGAAGGAGAAGGAGAAGGCCGCAGCACAGGCCGGAGGCACTGCAGCAGTGGCGGCTCCCCCTGCAGCAGTCTGCACAGGGCCACAGGAGCCAGCGCTGATCTTCAATAAGGTGAACCGAGCAGGCTCCGGGCCCTGGCCTGTCCCCTGGTTGGCTCTGTGGCCTCAACTCCCTCTTGGGTGGCAGCAGCCGAGTGGTCTGGGTGCTCGTGAGGCGGGGTGCCGGTTCTGCGTTGTCACCGACCTGCTGCTCGTCCCTAGGTGGAGGTCAGTGAGGAGGAGCCGGCCACCAAGGCCCAGCGGCGGAAGGAGAAGCGGCAGAAGGTGAAGGGGAACCTGACCCCTCTGACAGGCAAGAACTACCGGCAGCTGCTGGAGCGCCTGCAGGCGCGGCAAGGCCGGCTGGAGGAGCTGCGGGAGCAGGACGCAGGGAAGGCCCGGGAGCTGGAGGCCAAGATGAAGTGGACCAACCTGCTGTACAAGGCCGAGGGGGTCAAGATCCGGGACAACGAGCGGCTGCTGCAGGAGGCCCTGAAGCGCAAGGAGAAGCGCCGGGCTCAGCGGCAGCGCCAGTGGGAAAAGCGCTCGGCCCACGTCGTGGAGAAAATGCAGCAGCGGCAGGACCGGCGGCGGCAGAACCTGCGCAGGAAGAAGGCGGCCAAGGCTGAGCGGCGCCTTCAGAAGGCCCGCAGGAAGGGCCGCGTGCTGCCCCAGGACCTGGAGCGGGCGGGCCTCGCCTGAGCACCCCAACCCTCCCACCGCGAACCCTCCCCACCCTGGCTGCTGTCTCTGAGACTTCAGAGCTCCCAGGTGATAGGTGACACTGGGCATAGCCCGAGGGCAGCAGATGCCATCCTCGACTCCCAGAGCTGCCTGAGGCTCGGATCACATGCTGAGGAGAGTGGGGTGTCTGTGTTGTCGGTGAGCAGGGCCAAGGCCTGCAGACGTACGGGAGTGGAGAACTAGACCCAATCCCAGAGTCCTTGTAGGGTGGGAGAGCTTCCCTGAAGTCTGCAGGTTGCCAGGGAGCCCTCCTCCAGGCCCTCCTGCCTTTCCTGGGTTCCCAGGGGTCCTGGGCAGGAAGAAAAGGGCCTTGGTCAACTGTCCCATTAGTCCAGGGCTCAACAGGAAGGGATGCAAGCCCAGGGGACTGACTGGCTCCCATAGCTGGGAGAACCAGGGCCAGCCAAGCACTGCCCTTCTGGGGATGCCTTGCTCTTCCCTGTGGTAGTCTCATCCTCTCCTGTTCCTCAGTAGTCCTAGGACAATGTTTTCCCAGCTCAAAATCCAAAGAGGGGAACGGAGCTGTTCTTCCTAGGCCCATGGGGTGTGACTCAGGCTGCGCAGTCACCTCTGGGCATTTGCTGGCTCGAGGGCTGTGTCGTGGTCAGCGAGCCTCGGCACCCTCCTGGAGTCAGGGCAGAGGACTCCCTATGGGTACAGGGCTGAGGGAAGCCTGCTTTCACCAGATGAGTGGGTAGGAGATGGGGACAGGGACCTCAAGTGAGAGCCTGGATGCAGATGGGGGGAGCGCGACTGGACATTTCCCTAGTGTCTTGGGGGAGCATCCCCCACTGCCTGAACAGCTCTTTAGAAATGGGCTGCTTGTGCTGATTTGGTGGCCCACACTGGTGATCCCAGCACTCAGGAAACTGAGGCAGGAGCTGGAGGATCAAAACTTAGAGACCAGCCTAGGCAATTAGCAAGACCCTGCTTCAGAATAAATGAAACAAATGAGAAGCTGGGGCTGCAGCTCAGTGGCAGAGCAGCTGGTTCAATCCTTGGTACCAGACCCCGGGGGGGAATGAGCGCTCCCCCCCCACACACACACCAAAGGCTACTATTTAATAAAACAGGCAGAGTACACCTGTGCACACAGTGGAAAGGTCCAGGAGAGAACAGGCCTTGGGTGGGGTAGGTTTCTGTACTCTTAAGGCCTTTGCTGTGGCCCAGTTGAAATGTCCCATACGGTTATTTTCTTGTAAAGGAGTGGGCTGGGGGAGTTCAGCTGGTTGGCAGCCCCCACCGCCCTTGGTATCTACTTGGTCACTGCACTCAGGCCCTGCTCTTCTGGGTGGCCTCCACCAAAGTTAAGCCCAGTGAGGGGCACTGGGGCCTGAGGTTCTGCTCCTAGCAGGGCTCCTGTTCAAGTGGCTGCCCACGACTCCTGCTGGCTGAGGCCCCAGCAGCTGTGTGCTGATCTGATAACTCTGCCCCATCCTGCTTCCTGCACTTGGTCACCACAGGCTATATCCAATAAACCTCTTGCATTCCTAATTTGGTCTCTGTCTGTTTTCTGGAGGGACACACAGCTCCCGGTACAATGCCAAGTAAGTTTTTTGTTTGTTTTTTGGTGCTAGGGATTGAACCCAGGTCACTTAACCACTGAGCCTCATCCCCAGCTCTATTTTGTATTTTATTTAGAGACAGGGTCTCACTCAGTTGTTTAACCATTGCTGAAGCTAGCTTTGAACTCGCAATCCTCGTGTCTCGGCCTCCTGAGCCACTGGGATTACAGGCGAGCGCCACTATGCCCAGCTAAAACAGATCTTAAAAAGCATTCTTCTTACCTTGTTCCTGATACTCAACACTCAAAAATCTACAAAATTAGTAAAACAGTAGAGGATAAGAGAGGACACTGTGTTGCCAAGTCCTAGGACCTACTCTAAACTTCTGCCTTTGCCAAGCCCTCCCCAAGAGAGCTGGGTGGTCCTGGTCAACTGAGAAGGCGGTGGCTTCCAGTCACCACCCCTGCTTTGACAACCTTGACGAAGTTAACCAGGGCAGTGATAGTGCCTCCCTGCAGCTGCCCATTTCTTCCTGGTTTTCTTGGATGGGAGGGACTTGCCTTTGGTGAACTTCAGAACCTGACCAGCTCGCTCCCCCTCTCCAGGGGACCCTTGCTTGGCACCCAGTCTCCTCCTCTCTGTGCCTTCAGAATGGGGAAGGTCCTTTGCTCTCTTTTCTTCCTTTTTATAAATGTGTTGGGAGTCTGGAGCTTAGTCTTTGCTCCAGGAATCTGCCTCCTTGGCCGCCTCATCTGCTTCTGTTTCTTTGCTGACCCCGGCTTGGAAACCGCCGCTCCTCCCTGGATCTGCCCTCTGTCCTCGTCCTTGCTGTCCCTGCCTGCATTACCATTCTGGGCAGCCAGTGCGGGGTGCCCGGCCTGGTCTTTGTCTTGTCCTCCTCACTGGAGCTGCTATCAGTCTTTCTGGCCAGGCTTCTGGCTGCTGCCTGCAGGCTGCTCAGGGCTTGGGTGGCTCAGGGGTGGAATTCTTGGTGGTGCTGCCTGGGCTGGAGCTTCATCCTCAGGGCGGAGCTCCCTGAAGTACTTCTGCCGCCTTTGCTGCGTCTGGTCTTGTGCTTGCTCTGGGGATGGCTGCCTTAGCGGGGTGTCTTCTCTTCCTCAGAGCTTGACTCAGACCCATCGCTACTGTCCACACTGCTGTCCACAGACTCTGCTTCCATCTCCGCTTCCTGGGGGCTGGGTTCCCAGGGACGTCTTCAGTGGCAGGGCAGGAGGCGGGGGACTGAACTGCAGGGACCTGGTGCTTTCTTTGGGGTTTTTCTCTCCTCCTCATTGGGGCAGTCTGCACTGCTGGAGCTCTTCAGTGCAGGACAACAGCGGCTTTCCCTGGGACTTGGCCCATGACTTGCTTCCAGGTCCAGTCTTCTTGACTAGCCTGGTTTGGCTGGGGCCTTTGCCTGAGCTTTCACTGCCACAGGATGCTGTCTGGCTTCTTGTTCTTTGGCACCTCATCCTCTGAGCTTGAGCTAGAATCAGGCGTGTTGCTCTTGGCTTGGGGCTTTCTGGGGAGCCTTTTTGTCCTCCTTCTCCTCCTCCTTGCTGGATTCTCCACTGCTGCTGCTCTCTGAAGCTTTGGCTGCACGGGATGCCCATTAATTTGGCCTCTGTCTGTTTTCTGGAGGGAACACAGCCCCCACTAGGAGGCTGTGACCGAGACTGAGAGTCTACTATACCTGGCAGGGGTGATACACCTTCAGGGAGAGGGTGGGACTGGACATTAGGAACGCCAGGCAGTCAGTGTAAGCTCAGAACTAGTATGCTGCACTAGGAGGAGCAGAGGTGAAGGCAGGTGTGGCCAGGCAGGCAAACCAAGGAGCAGGAAAACCGATGGCAGGAAGGACTCACAGACCTCTCACGGGTGCACTCCCTTGTTTGGGTGGGGGGACCAACCATCTCCAGTGTTAACTTTGCTCAGCCCACACAGAGCCTGTGCCTGCACGCCCTTTATCCTTTACTCTTAATACAATGAGTATGGAGCTCCTCTTGATGCTCATTTTTAGAGAGTCCAGCTGTTGCTCTTTAGTGTCTTGTACATAGGAGCTTTTTTGTTTGTTTGTGGTGCTGAGCCAAATCTCCAGCTCTCAGGACACAGGCTTTTTATACAGGTTGAACTCCTTCCCAGGTTTTGTCTTTTTTAAAAAGCAACCATGCACATTTTTTTCATCTTTTTTGGGTCCTATTTATTTGTATTCACTTAGGGTTATATTTGTTTAAGAATATAATATATATTTGTCTTCACTTAGAGTTATATTTGTTTAAGCTACCAAGGCAAAAGAATGTTTACAAGGTATTTTTAAATAAAGAGCTGTTTTCACTTACATGTTGTAATTTTTTTAAAAAAGAATCTTTTGTCAAACTCAGAAACATTTCCCCTCAAGTTTTAAAAAGTAATATTGCTCTATATTTTACTCTAATTTATTTACATTTTGCTTAAATTTTATTTTGAATAGGTAGTGCATTAACAGTTTCAGTCTTAAAAAGGGCACTTAAAGGTTCATGCTGGACCCTTGCTGTCGGGTTCTGGGCGCCAGATGGCATCAGAACCTAAGCTCTCGGTGAGGGCTGGACCCTGTGGGGCGGGGCGGGGCATCAAATGGTGTGTGTGTGGGGGGTCGGCTGGAAGCCTGCGGGACATCAGGGCCGCGGGACCGGGAAGGAGCAGGACTCTTGGAGAGGCAGATGGTGTTGCTGCCGGACCGGCGCGGGCGGCCCCTGTCCTGGCCACAGTCCTGGGGATGATAGTCCTTCCCGCGGGCAGCCGCGGATGCTCCTTAGCGCCCCTTATCCTCTTGCGACGCGGCTGCCCTGTGCTTCACCGGGTTCCGAGGCCCCTGGCAGAAGGTGGCGACAGGTGCGGACGCGGAGCCATGACCCCGCGGCCGCGATCAAAGGCGGTTTAGTGCCCCCCCCCCCCCCGTCTGTTGGTCAGGTTGGGAACTCTCCACGCCTCTCTTGGTCCCTCTATGCTCACCTGCCTTTCCCCGAACTGGAGTTCCTAGTGTGACCCCCGGAGCCCGCTGCAGAGTCGCGGAAACGCCCGGTGCCCACCGCGCGGGCCCAGCAGTGCAAGTGGCCCCCAGGCGCCTGTGGAGGAGGGCTGCGGCTCAGCAGGACCAGGTGCTTGCAGTTGGCGGGGAAGTGGGAATTGTGCGCACAGCAGAGCGCGAGGGGACATGGGAACCCTGGAGGCTGGGTGCAGGTCTGTGAACTGCGGTGGGAAGGACATAGAACCAGGGCTGAGGTGCCCAGAGCCAGCACTATGCCTGATTTAGGGCACTGTTTAGGCACTGCTATGGGGGGGGGGGGTTGTCGGACTGGGATTGTAGGGGGACAAGAGGTGTCTCCAGGATTTTCCAGAGAGAAAGGGCCACTGGATTCAGGACCAGCAGGATCCTTGGAATATGGCAGATAACTCCAGCACATGCCGGGCAAAGTCGCAGCCAGGTTTATTTAGGAAAACAGATCCACATTCAAGGGATGGGGGGAGCCCTCTCTAAAGGGAAAAGCCAGGAATACTACTCAAAGGCCAACCCAGGCCTTCAGAGGGAGAGGCAGCAACTGGTGGGTGTGGGGAGTTAATGTTTCTAGAGGGGGCTGCAGGGGCTGGACAGGAGGTGGGGACAGGGTGGAACTGTACAATCTGAAGAGTTTTTCCTTTGTTTGCACTTTCCCTCATTTTAAATGGGTCTGGCCAAGGGCCAGCCACTCAAGATCTCCAGCTGTGCTTTGGGCATCTCAGGCTTGTGGGACTTTAAGATTCTCTCTCTCTATCCTAAAAACCCATCACAGAACTAGGAGAAGGATGAAATAGAGGGGAGACCCTACTTAGCTGATGAAGGAGGATGCTGTGTGCTGATGGCCCTGGGCTCACAGCTTGTGAGTATGTACTCTGAGCCAGGCCGGGTTCAGGAATTGGGAGGATGGGGCTCAGGAGGCCAGTTTGCCCACTGGAGACAGGTTTGGAGAGCTGTAGAGCGCCGCCCTGCCTACACAAGAGGGAAGCACTTGGGGAGTCGGGAGTTTGGGGGGGGGGTGCTGTGGCCTGCCGTTCCTATTATGGCTAAGTTTTCTGGGTCCATCATGAAGCAGGAGAAAAGAGATAAGCATAGTTACAAAGGACTCTAGCAGGAAGGGGAAAGGAGACCAGCTCTAAATCGCCTTCACTCCCCAAGCTGTCTCCTCCAAATGAGAACCTTTAAAACCTCCTTGGGTCCTCCTGGGTGTGGTGAGTGGCTGAGATGCCTGTGTACCTTAACGCAACTTTTTTTTTTTTTTTTTTTTGGTGGTGGTGCTGGAGATGGAACCCAGGGCCTTGTGCATACAAGTCAAGCACTCCCAACTGAGCTGCATCCCAGCCCCAGCATGTGCTTTGGATGGACTAAAGCCAGGGGAAACGTGCTATTGGAGAC